TGTCGGGGATGAAGGGCGGTTTGAGCTTGTCGGAGAGGCTTATGTCCAGGGCATTATGATGGGAGAGGCGCTGGCGATGGAGAAGGAGATGAGTTTCTTCGAGATGCTCTGAGAGCTGCCTGGTATCGTCGGGTCTGTGCCTGAGTCTGTATGTCAAAACACAATCAGCGGGTGGTCAGGGGATAGGGAGACAGTGAGAAAAGATGACAGCCGCCGTGGCCGTGCTGGATGTTGTTCTGGATCGAAGATTGAGGGTCGCTGGCACCGATTGCTGTGCAAAATGCGACGAGGAGGTCAGCTGCAATGTACATGTCCGTTTGTCACTGTTTACCAACCACGGACGAGTAGCCCGGTTCGTCGGGAGAAGCTCTCGACCCCTGGATGATTTAGAGTGCTGTCGCGCTCTTATAGATTGAAGTGGCATGTTAGCTGGGAAGGTCGAGGTGTAGTCGGTCAGGGGAAAGATCTGCACACGGCAAAGTTCGCGATCACAGCACATGTGGACCAACGCGTGGATCGGGGGTTCCGCGCGATCGGTGGCGGTCGGCAGATCGCCAAGGCGACGGGGAATGGGCGAACCGGTATTTGGGACCCTGAAGTTTCCAGATCTACCGGCTTGGCAACGGCCGGTGAAGTCATGGCCGGCATTCGTCATCACCTCCATCTCCGTGTGCCGTTCCATCCTCGGCAGCAACATTTCTGTATTCATCATTACGTGATGGGGCTGTGTTGGGGGAATGGGAAGGACTTGTTCGTACCAAGGTGTCGTGAACGGGCGAGCATATAAGAGACTGAACACTTCCCCTTCCAAGTCTCAGGTTCATCATCACACCCGCAGCAACACTTCTCCAACACCTCAGCTCATCTTGAACATCTCCAACAACAATCCACCACTCTCAACTCAACATACAAACATCAAGATGCGCTCCGCTGCCATCCTCACCCTCCTCGTCTCGACCGCTGCGGCGGCCAAGAACGCCATCCCGTCCGTGTGGGATGGTTCGTGCTACTACCCCACGCCCGACCCCGGATTCCGTCTCGACACCTACCTCGGACGCTGGTATCAGGTCGCCGGGACCATTGCCCCGTACACCAGGAATTGCAAGTGCGTCTATGCGCAGTATGCCCTGAATGTAAGTCGTTCCCGTTCCGGGTGCTCCGGCCTGAAACCAGGTGCCAGTTCCAACTGACAATTCCTCCAGGACAACGGCACCGTGCAAGTCAACAACACCTGCCAGGCCGGGACCCGTCCCGTCAACATTCTCGGCGCTGCCGGTCCTGCCGACCCTGAGTATGGCGCCACAGGTGTCTACCGCGTCCAGTTCCCCGGCGAGCGCCCCCCTGACTGCCCCGGTCCCAACTACATTGTCCAAGGTGAGTTCAAACTGTCCCGCATTGTTGGACCGGATGGCTAACAGAGACAGACTACACTGGCGAGTTCTCTCTGGTGCAGTCCAACAACTTCACGACCATGTTCCTCCTGAGCCGCACCCAGAACCCCGATGACAAAGTTATCGATGTAAGTACCTCCCTACATTCCAAGGACAAGCCGGCAAGACAAGGTCGCTAACCTGTTGCACCCTAGGCCTGGATTGCCCGTGCTGGCCTGCTTGGAACCGATCTCAGCCAGGTGGTCAAGACGGACCAGACGGACTGCCTTTTCACATAGAGGGTCAAGTCGTGAAGTCGGTATCTCGGTGTGCATTGCGACGGGTGCATAGTGGTTTGGTGCTTGCAGGCGGATAGAAGTGTTTTGTGGAGCTGGTGGTTGGAATTTTGACTTGTACATATTTAAATCATTGACGTCATATACTTGGAGATTTACTTGGCGATTCACTTGGCATTTCTTGACATTTCACTTGGCTTTACTTCCATTTTTTGTCTCGCACAGTCATCAGGGACTGGACGCAGGCACCTACCTATCTATACCTTATGACATTCTTCAAAGTTCAGGAGGGTGACACCCGAGTATAGGCTGGTACCTGTCCCCCAACAAGTGCCAAGCTTGCAGGGGCTGCAGTGGTACTCGATAGGGCTGCGTGGTGGGGGTTGGCTGTATCGCACACGCTAGCGACATCGGGCGATGGCGCCTTTTTTGCCGATTTTCGACGAGGCAATTTCAACGTCCTCTCATTCTCGGACCAATTCCAATGCGCGCAGCTCTCATCTCTCGTCGCCATGCCACACAGTGGCGCTCACTCGCCACCGGCCTTGACCGTGTCCTCGGAAACCCCCCTTTTGGCCGAGCATCAATCGGCAACACCAGGACGCGATGGCGACGACAGTGACGCCCAGGATGCTGCCGTCGACAAGACGTGCCAGCGATCCCTCAGCTTCTGGGACGGCGTGGCCCTGACCCTCGGCATCCAGATCGGCTCCGGCATCTTTATCTCACCTGCCCTCGTGGCGCGATACTCGTCATCAACACTCTCCGCCCTGCTCATCTGGGTCGTCGGCGGCGTGCTGGCATGGGCATGCGCTGCCTGCTACATTGAGCTGGGAACCCGTCTCCCCTTCAACGGCGGCCCGCAGGAGTACCTCGCTCACTGCTTCGGCGACTTGCTCGGGTTCATCACGTCCTGGGTATGCATCTTTGGCATCAAGCCGTGCTCGGCCGCCATCCTGGCCTTGTTCATTGCCGACTACGTCTGCGGATCGGCCGCCATCTCTCCGGCTGCTGCAGGCGGAGGTGCTGCAGGCTGGGATCGTGTAACCGTGGCGTTGCTCGTGGTCACGCTGGTCACGGTCGTGAACTGCACTGGCAACCGCCTCAGCAACATTTCAACCAAGGTCTTGCTCGCCTGCAAGGTCATTGGTGTGGGCTTCATCATCATCGTCGGCTTTGCCGTCCTCGTCTTCCCGAGCTTGGGAGCCGCAGAACCAAACGACCCCAGCATAGTACCGCCCGATGTACCTGTCTACTCCACAAGCTACGTCGACGCCCTTGTTGCAGCCATGTGGGCATACTCAGGGTGGGAAGTGGTGAGCCACGCCCGTCCCAGACTTGGAGAGCGAATGCTGACACTGGTGAGCGCAGCTGAGCTTCGTCGGCGGTGACCTCCGAAACCCTGCCCGCAACTTCCCACGCGTCATTAATGCGGCGATGGCTATTGTGCTGCTATTTACGTTGTTCGCCAACGTCGCATACTTCTCGGCCTTGGGGTTCGATGCCGTTGCACAGTCTACCACCGTCGGACTGGTGAGGCGCAATCCACGTCTGTTTTATGCTCTTTTGCTGACTCTCGTGTTTAGACATTCAGCCAAAAGTTCCTCGGACGAGCCGGAAGCGTCGCTTACGCGGTCGCCATCTGTCTCTCCAGTCTGGGGACACTGAACGTCAAGACATTCGCCGCCGGTCGGTTGACACAAGCGGCGGCCGAGCGTGGCTACCTCCCAATGGTTATGAAGACGGTCGCAGATGATGCCGATGAGGAGAATGTCGTCGACGTCGATCCCCTGATGGGGGCCGTGGAGGGACGGACCATGTTTGACGTTTTTTATCAACCGGTCAAGGCAGGCGATGGCAGCGTGCCACTGTGAGAACAAGCCTTTCTCGCTGAGTGACTGAATACTGACATGATCCAGATCCGCCATCGTCTTCAACTCGCTGCTCACCGCGGCCTTTGTGCTCGCGGGCGACATCAGCTTCTTAATCGCGTTCATGGGTACTCGACACGTTGAAATCTTGGCCAAGTTCATGACTAACCTGTGAGACAGGTATCATCGAGTACACAGTCGTCTTCCTCAGCCTCATCGGCCTCCTGTCCCTTCGCATCCGGGGGAGTTCGACGACTGGAAACGGGGCTGCCAGTGAAGCAGTCATCAAAGTCCCCACTGCCCTCATCCCTGTCGCTCTCGCTACCGTCGGTTGGATGGTGCTCTTCTCGACCATTCGGCACCCCGAGGCAGGACTGGGATTCTTCCTGTGTTGTGCCCTTGGCGCAGCTATCCACACAATCATCATTCGCCCTCGTCGCCGAGTACCCAGTTAAGGTTACAATCACGGGCAAGTTTCTTGCTGCATAGTAGGGGGCTGGCGCTTGTCAAATCGCGGCAAAGACAGAAACAGCGGCCAAATTTCGGGTTCAAATCGTCACATCACCATTCCACTCGGAAGAGGGGGGTCCGACGGAGAATGTTTCGTCAATTCCACTCGAACTACACGGAGCATCCGTCACTCTCCAAACAACCCTGGGACTTGCTGAACAAAGGTCACCCGCGGGAGAAAAACATTGGAAAAGAGACAACCGTGGCTCGCCTTGGATATTTGGCCTCATTCAGCACGATGCTTTGGATAATGCCACGGCACATTCGTCAAGGCTTGAAGCTTTTTCTCGATCATCATCGTTCACATGGGGAAGGGGTGTGCCAGAGTGTGCTCGGTGACGGTCAAGCGAGCTGATATAGGCCCGATAGCTGAGTCGGTGATGGTGCCAGTTGTGCCTCCGGACCTATGCAGAATTCGGAGCGTCCCTTTGATCGATGCGACCGTGCCTGAATAGTTCGTGGACCGGACATGCACCTCCGTGGGTCTTCGCTTCTATATTAAGTACGCCAGCGGCGGGGTTCCTATTGCAAAGGGCAACTCATCAACCACTATCACACAACCCCAGGCCAGGTCCAGGATGCGTTAATCGGGATGACATTGGTAGCGGCACTGTTTGTGCGCAAGCCCATCTATGTCAGGCAATGGATGTTCTTCAAAAGTTTCCACCAGATTGACCATTTAACACCCCCCTTTTTGGTAACCTCGGCCATAGACACCGCCGTCTGTGGCGGGTGATGAACGAGAACTCCCGACTTTCCTCATAGACCCAGCTGGTAGCAACGAGCCCGGTCGGCCCTTCTCTCATAGCCAGGAATGACGAAGACCTTGTGAGTGTTGATGTTTTTCTGCCAGGTCGGACTGGTGTATGAGATGATTGACCAGCCTAAGAGCTCTCAAGCTTTGTGCGTTATGGGAGACAAATTCTGCTCCTATTCAATACAGCCAATCGCTTGGCCCGCTGGCCTAATGGTAAGGCGTCACATTTCGGTTCTCTGAATCAGTTTCTGTGAAGATTGTGCGTTCGAGCCGCACGTGGGTCGATTTCTTTTTTTGGTGGGATCTTGGGTCACATCCAGGATCAAAATTCAAAGACTTCCTCTGTCACAGACGTTTCATATTGGGGTCTCCTTTTTGTCGCTTGGGTGCAAAGCTCGGAGACTTGGATTCCACTAATTGTACTCTTGAAAATACCCCGCCTCCGAGTCACGGAAGATCTCAGTTTGTTGCGCGGAGGATGATTACCCGCCAAGTGCCGGCAACGAGATTGACCTGGATGAAATGGAGGACTACATCCTCGGGGAAGAGGATAAAACGAAGGAGCAGCGCCTTTTCTCCAGCGATGCGAGAGATTGTTGAAGGCTGGACGAGACATCGACAATCGACTTCTCACATCAAACCTGGACATACCTTTCGCAATGAAGTCGCCGGCGATATTCGCGAGCCTCACGGGGCTGTTGTTGGCTAGATTCGCCGACGCTGCGTTCGGTGTGACGACCAAGGGGAATTCATTCAGCGTCGATACAAATGCTGGCTTGGTGTTTGATGTCAGCAAGTAAGTAAACAAATCGTGGAAAAACTCAGGGGCTCAAAAAAGAAGGGGCTCACCTTGGCAAATCCCCCAGCGCACGAACTGACATGGCCGCAGAAGCACCGGTGACATCACCAGCCTCCTCTACAACGGCGTCCAGTACCAGGGGACAACCAAAATGACACACATCAACTCGGGACTGGGAACCTCCAAAGTCACCGCCGACACCGTCAACGGATACGTCCGCATCACCATCACCGGCGGGTCGCAGCCCCTGACGCAGTACATCGTCGCCAAGCCGGGACAGCCTACCATCTACCTGGCCACGTACATCACCGGCGAGATCAACCCTGGCGAGCTGCGATGGCTGGCGAGACTGAAGCGCGCGGCGGTCCCAACCGGATGGCACGGCGATGTCGCGAATCTGGACGGATGCACGGCCTTCGAGGGAAAGGACACGTTCAAGTGCTCCAACGGGCAAACTCGCTGCAAGATGTACACCTCGGACCGGTTCATCGACGATCAGGTCCATGGAGTCACGGGAAAGGTGTGTCTCAACCCCCCCTCCCAGCCCGGCACGCCATCGCGCTGACAACCCCTAAAGAACGTGGGCGTCTGGATGATCATGCCCGGCGTAGCCTACGAGACCTCCTCCGGCGGTCCGTTCATGCGAGACATCAACTCGCAAAGCGGCGACGACCAAGAGCTCTACTGGTACATGAACTCGGGACACGTCCGCACGGAACCCTGGCGCTTCGGTCTCCACGGCCCCTACGCCATGGCCTTTACGCAAGTCATCCATCCCAAATCCCCAATGCCCTCTTCCAAACTAACACACCCCCCGCACAGAAACGGAACAAAACCCTCCCCGAACCTCGACACCTCCTTCTTCAGCACCCTCTCCATCCAAGGCTACGTCCCCCTCTCCCAGCGCGGCACCCTCACCGGCCACGCCACCGGCGTCCCCTCCCCCTTCCAAGCCGTCCTCCACTGGAACAACACCAAAGCGCAGTACTGGACCGTCGCCGCCCCCGGCACGGGCGCCTACACCTCCCCGCCCATGAAGCCGGGGACCTACACCGCCACGCTCTACCGCAACGAGTTCCCCGTCGCCCGCGACACCGTCACCGTCGCCGCCGGCACCTCCACCGCCCGGGACATCACCGCCGCGGAGCCCCGCCCCGACGTGGTCTGGCGCATCGGCGAGTTCGACGGACAGCCGTTTGAGCTGCGCAACGGGGATAAGATCGAGCGGATGCATCCCGCTGATGTGCGCATGGGGTCGTGGGGCGGGAATTACACCGTTGGGAAGTCGACGCCGGGAAAGGACTTTCCGATGGCGGTGTTTGCCAAGGAGGGCGGGCCGGTGACGGTGAGCTTTGGGGCGAGCGCGGCGCAGGCGGCGGCTGAGACGGTGCTGCGGGTGGGGACGACGTTGTCGTTCAAGGGGGGGCGGCCGAGCGTCAAGGTGGGGGGGTGGACGGGGAAGGATCCGGGGGCGCCGGTGAGTACCGCTTTTTCTTTCTGGGTTGTGTGGTCGAGGTCGAGGGAGCTGGCTGACAATGCAAGCAGACACTCATTGACTCCCGCGGTGTGACGAGGGGGGCATATCGCGGGTACGGTGACGTGTACACGTGGAAGATTCCGGCCGGGACGCTCAAGGTCGGGACAAACACGCTGACGCTGGGTGTCCATGGTTCCGGCGATGCTGCGTTTCTGAGCGCAAATTATGTGGTGGACGCAGTGGAGCTTCAAGGACCGAGGGGGGCGGATAGTCCCCCTTCGTTGTAGGCATTTGTTCGCAAGAACCGATTGAAGATTTCCGAATTTTCCAACTTCATTTGACCAATCCTCCCCCTCGACGTTTCCATGATGTCATCTCTCCCATCCTCCAACCGCCTCCACCCCGGCCCACAAGACAACCCCCCGTCCATCAAAACATCTCATCCCCCCCCTCCCCAGCCTCCTCCTCCCTCCTGACCTCCTCGGCCTCCCGCTTCCGCTTAATCTTCCTCAGCTCCTCCCTCGCCAAGTCGCGCACCTCCAGCATGGAAATCATCCGCCCCAGCAGCGCATAGCCGGCCCGGAGCCCCTTTTCGGCGTCCCCCGGGTGCTCGTCGAGACACATGCCAATGACCATGGGCAGCAGCATCTTGAGGTTGTTTGTCTTGAGCAGCCGGCTGAGGGCCCGGCAGTCGCAGCCTTTGGTGTCGAGGAGGTGGAGGAGGTAGTGCTGCGTGAGGTCGACCTTGGTCTCCTCCTCGTCATTGGGATCATGGGGCGCCTGGCCGGGGATTTCCGTGCCGTCAATGTAGAAATCTGTGTTGGTGCTGGGATCGCGGAAGATGATGGTGTAGGTGTCATGACGAAGCGTCAGGCGGACCAGGGAGTCGCCGACCATGATGGGAGGCGGTTTGGGCTCTGCTTGGGGTCGAATTTGAAGAAGTGTCTGGGGTTTGGGTCAGAGAGTTGAGACCACTTGTTTGCAGTGTGACCGGTTGGCATTTCGAGCGCACACGCTCTATATGTGCCACAGGGCGTCTTTGCACAACAAAGAGCTCGGTGTTTCGACCAGCCTGCACTCCCTGCAGGTAACCAGACAGCACACAAAGGTCAGACAGAGACATGCACAGAGATGCAGATATTCTTTTCTTGAATGAGTAAATGACCAATCCTAACATGCTTTTTGCTTTTTTGACAACCCCCACCAAAGATTTCTAGAACTGCCGCTCGCTTGCTTGCATCATGCAACAAAACAGAAGAACGCCGCCCTAGAGGAACCGGAGCTCAACGCTCAGATCTTGACCCATAGCTTGCCTCTGGTGAGCCAGAACCTCAACAGGGTCATGAACACCCCCGAGGCCGTGGCAAGGACACCTGCAAACACAAACAGGCTCGTCCAGTGCAGCTCGCCTCCACGATCACCAAGGACCCTTCCACCGCCCGGTCCACCAGCCAGAACACCGAACCCGAATATGGTAAATCCCATCCCCATGCGTGTTCCTATCTTGCTCTTGTCTGCCGTGAGCTGGACAAAGCACACGGGCGGCAGCGCGATGAAGATGCCCGAGAAGAAGCCGTAGATCAGGGTGATGACAATTATGGCGGGGAGGGTCTTGACGCCGAGCATCGCAAACGTGAGGATGCCGCAGCAGAGAGCGCCAGGGGCGAGAACTGGACGATAAAGGTCAGTGGAAGACATGCAGGAGGGAAGAGGGCGTGTGCTCACCGTTGAGAGGACCAACTTTGTCAGCCAGGGCGTTGGGAAGCGTCCGACCAAACATGGAGCCGGCATTGAGGATGGGGACCAGATAGAAAGCCATGTGCCTGGAGGCAATGCCTGTCGCAAACGTGTAGAACGAGATGTAGAAGAGCATCACGTAAAGGCCCGCAAATCCGAACATCGTCGACAGGGTGAAGAAGGCAAAGGGCCAGTCGGTGAAGACGGTCCAGTCGAGAACAGCGCGGGGCTTGACGGGCTTGACACGCATCTCCATGAAGAGAACCGGTGTGATGAGCGTTGCCAGCGCGATGAATCCGAGGATGCGCACCGACCAGGCAAAGCCGATCTTGTTGAGCAGGTTGAGAAAGGTGAGCGGGTAGACGACACCGCCCAGCGAGGACCCTGACGCGGCAATGCCCATAGCGAGAGCCATGCGTGTGGTGAAGTAGGAGGGCAGCACCGCAACCGAAGGGATGAAGAGCAGGCCGGCACCGATGCCGACGCAGAAGCCCTGGGCGAGGATCGCTTGCCAGTACTGGGTGCTGATGCTGAGCATCATGAAGCCGAAGACGATGAGGAAGGATCCGGTGGCCATCAGGGCGCGGAGATGGCCGCGGTCGTATATAGGGCCCGAGAGGAGACCGAAGACGAGTACGCAGTAGGCCTGGATAGAGCCGATCCACGAGATGTTGGAGGAGGATGCCGTGAACAGCTCGCCCGTCTCGTAGTAGGTCTGGAAGACGCCAAAGGTGTTGAGGACGCCCCACGAGTTGAAGAAGACGCAGAAGCCCGAGGCCACCTGGAGCCAGGCCTTGAGACCGCCGTTAGGAGGAGGGCCAGCGGCACCATGGGCTGGGGCCGGGACCGGGGCCGGGGGAGGCGCGGTCGTGGAGATGACCTCGAGGCCATCCTCGCCCCCCTCCTTGTCGTGGAAGGTATACATGCTGTTGTGGTAGGTGTCTTCGCTGTCGGACAGATGGTGGCGGATCTCGTCGGGGTCATGGTCGTCGAAGCCGGCGCCGTTGGCAACGACGGGCGGTGCAAAGGTTGGAGTCGCCATTGGGCGGGAAAGGAAAGGAAATTGCCAAGATGGCAGAGGGTCGAGGGAGAAGCTTATTCAGAGGGAATATATATTGGTGGAATCGCTGCTGCGGGCGGCCTTGGAACAAATGAGCGACTAGTCGGATCGTGAGAGATCTCGAGGTGGTGTTGAGGGGGGGAGAGAAGGGAGTGCCCGGTGGTTTTTGCTGGCTTGGAGTTGAGTTCCGAGCTTGGCCACTCTCGCGGAG